CAGACGGCCAGACGGCCCAGACAGTCGGACGCATGGGCCACGACTACTATGTAGATAGCCAGATAGCTAGATAGTTAGATAGCTGGTTAGATAGCAGCCGAGTTGACGCCCACACGGTTAGATTTATAGACGCCCTCGCCCAGCCAGTGAAACATGTGCCAGGCAACTTCTCGCTGGAAATTACATCCGCTGTGCCCGGCCAGAAGTTAAGCCAGCCAGCCACTGTTTGGCCAAATGCTTTAAGGCCAAAGACTTTAATCAATGGCAGCGCTGTTTGGCAACACATTTTCGTTGCCAATTTTATTAACTTCATCAAATTCATGCGCTTCGGTGCATACTCTGCTGACAGGTGCTCTGTTGTCATAGAGCTTCACCTTTAGGCCAACCTCAACTATCAATCAATTTGGCAATAGTTAGTCTCCACGGTTGCAGTGCGTGGCAGCTACAGCTGCATGGTTCGCCATTCATGTTCAACATTCTGTAAACACAAATTTCATGTTGGATGTGAGTTCGCTTTAAGTTTGCCTGGCTGCATATAATACTCTCTGATAGGATTCCAAATATGAATGATATGCACAGCTTTCCTTGTTGAATAATGTGAAGTTATACAATGGGAAATATTTGAGTATATATTGAGTATACACATAAGTATAAAATACAAATAAGTTGGAATATCTAAGGTGTATTTTTATATTATTAAAAAAAATAAAATAAATAAATAAATAAATAAAATACAAAAAAAAATTTTTTATTAATATTAAATAAGTTCGTACATTTTCTTTATTGCATACTTCTGGCGATGGACGGGCCAAGAGTACTTTTCCTTGGTTTAATATATTTTTTTTAATATATTCAGCATAACTGTAGTACTGTGTATAGCCCAGACACTCCTTCATAAAACATAAAACATGCTCTAGCTGTATATTTTATATTTGATGCTTGATTGTCAGAGGAATCAATCTAGAGAAGTGTTGTCTGCACTTTAGGGCGATTGGAATCAACATTCTATTTGAGTGCTCGCTGCAACAAGTAATCCTTCAATTGACTTTTTGAGTGCCTCAAAAAGTAAGAGATCTTCATCTTTGTAAGAGGTTATTATCTTTGTAAGAGATCTTGATCCAGCCTTGCCCCCAATCCTTTAGACTTCAATTTTAAAATAAATGTATTCTTGAAGCGCATTTATCGTCACCATAGCTAAAATAAAAACCAATATAAAAATAAAATTTTAATAGTAATTCTCTTCATCTTGAAGTAAAGCTCCTTACACATAACAGGGCACATTGTTTGGCATAATAATTCACTTTAGTGAATTAACAGATTCTAATAAGGGAAGCCTTACTGATTTCATTTATTGATAATGACTTCTTGTTGGCAAAATAAATATTTTAACCAGCCTATAATTCAAATTAAATTTTGAAAAAATTCTTTATTTCCAAGTTTTGATTTTATAGATATTGATGCTTTTCCTCTCAAAATTAACAACCCTTAAACAATTTACGCATATTAAAACTATAAAATAACATTGTTTTTTTTTTTTTTATGCATGTTTGTTTAGGTGTGTATTTTTATACTTACACTACAATAGAGTGAATAAAAGTCAGCTTTAGACTAATCCATTATCCATTGCTCATCAATTACTTTGTATAGCCCTTCATATATGATGATTAGGTTTTGAAGTAACGACTGAGGCTGATAAACGGAGGCAAATAAAATATATAGAAATTTAACATTTACTATACAAATATTATTATTCAAGGTTTAGCTTAAAATTATATAGTAAAATTTTTGAAAGTATTTATGAAAGTAAAAAGTAAAAATGTGATGTACAATAAATTAAAAACTACGGCAACTCACTTGGCTGGAATCTGGGAATATTTTCCGGCAACCTAGCTAAGAGCTATACTGGAATATACATATAAAATAAATTCCCAGATTGTCGCCTTGATCAAGGAATATACATATACCTTTTTCTGTCTGCCACTTGCTCATTTGCCTGTTACATAAATTATTAACAAAATATTATACCCAATCGTCTTCGCTTCATTAGGTTCACCGCACAAACATATAATGGGTATTTTCAAACTGATTTAAAAATTGGCAATTGCAAATATAAATAAATAAATAAAATTTTTTGCACACAGACACGAAAAGTGAATAAATGCCCAGATATATACATTTACATATATCTATATGTATATGAATTTCGATTGTCCGAGTGGCGAATGCAAATGAATATTTTCATTTGAAATTGCAGCGAGGCACAGCTGCATTATGTGTGTGCAACACGTCGTATGAGTAACGAAATAGCTCGAATGGAGAGTTATTTTCTTATGCGGTCGAGCGAAACAAATTTGGCCAGCAAGCCAGTCAGGCATTTCACTAGTCAACTCAATTCGGACAGTTCAATAAATAGATAAGTCCAATTAGTAAGCTGCAAACTTTTGCTTTGGCTTGATCTCAATTAATTGAGCTTTGTGGAAATTGTGGGAATAGAGATTAGCTTCGTGCTGATTTTCTATTTGGTTAATCGAACAATTGAATTTGACGATTTGAGTTTCGTTATTGAGTCCTGAGTACGGCTCAGTAATTCAATTTGTATTCTATCGTGTATATTTGTTAATTAGATGTTGTTGGCAAACACACACGCACACATAAATTGATCTAAATAATTGACCAAAAATTTAGCCCTACTAATGTGAATATCTTATGTAAACACAGTTGTGTGCGGTTGTGTGTGTGTGCGATGGCAAAGCAAATTTCAATAATCAAACAGAGCCGAACTGAGCACCATCGATATAATTGCTTGCTGAACAAAGCCGAAAAGCAAACAAAACCAATTCTAAATTTGGCCGAGTGAAATAACAATGCGTAAAATGCGTTTGTCTGTTTTTATTGGGCAAAAAAAAAAAAAAAAAAAAAAAAAAAAAAACAAACGCAAATGGAAATATTAATAGAACCCTTTCCAATTCACGGCACAGTTTGCGCTTTTAATTCACAATTATTAAATTCAATAAATGTTGATAGTTTAGGTTCGATTAAAGCGCAAACTGCAAGGCCTTGATGCATTTGCTGCTGCTGCTGCTCATTAAATTCTCATGCTTGACTGCATGATGCGGCCTAAAATACTCATAAGAATCGCTAGAGAATTGCATCTGGATCGCAGCGCACAATGCCCTTTGGCCGGGACGCGGTCTCAGGCTCCTGCACTCAACTTTAGCCTCCGCCCTGGCTCCAGCGTGAGCCTCTGCCCCTCCTCCACCACAGCTCAGACGCAGTCTGCGCAGCCTCTTCATTTACTGTGGTCGCTTTTGTAGTAAACATGAAAGAAAAGGTACACACAAAAAATAAGAGAGAGAGAGAGAGAGAGAGAGAGAGGAAAAATGCAAATGGAAATAAACACAAGAGCCAGCCAAGCAGCCAAAGCCATAGGGGTGACCGATGGACAGGACGGGACAGGACAGAACAGGACTGGACGACGACGCAAAATAAAACTATTTAAGCGCAAATCCAAAAAGTAAAACATATAAATATTTTTAAATTGTAAATTATAAAGTTCCTTTCGAGTTTGAACTGGCAGCTTGAAAGAAAATATTAAAATATTTTTTATAAATTATGAAACAAGGAATTGAAGGAAGAAAATATATCGAAATGCTATTTATGCTTAATAAATAAAATTTAATTTATGTATTATTAATTGTATAAAATATTGAATATTTTTATAATTATTAATTTTTGGTTAGTAAATATAAAAATAAAATAATTCATATATTGAATATCAAAATATATATAATAATACTTTTGAAATTTATAATATTATTTATTTAATTCCAAATGACAATGAGATCAGTTTTTTTTTGTTTTTTGTTTTTGTTTTGCTTTTTTTTTTTATTTACACATATATATAAATTATCGAGAATTATTTAGAACGAATTTTGATATTGTATATAAGAAAATTGTGATCTCTTGTTGAAGGTTATAGCTTCAATGTAGATTATACATTTGTTTAAGGGCTGAAAAGCGAAATTACTTTATAATTAGTTACAAATTTGAAACAAAATGAATCTTTATTCTATCAGGTATTGAAATAAAAAAAAAAAAAAATAAAATAAAAATAAAAACAAAAACAAAAACAATCTTTATATTCGTTAAAGCATTCAACAAAATATATATTTATTAATAAAATAAATAATTAATTTCAACCAACGATATCGGCAAATTTGTACATGCTCCTTTAATAAAATGTTAAAAAAAAAAATCAATTTGTAATTGGTTTTTACAAATTTCTTTAATGGAGTCAGTTTTTATAGCATGTCTTATGCGAATGAAATTATTCCAAGAGATGTATTTATTTTGTATACACCGAATATTATAGTATAGCTGAATTTGGTGTTTTTATTTATTTTATTTATTTATTTTTTTTTATTAAATATAATAATATTTCATAATTTACAAATTTCCATTTACACTTTTGCAGTTCAATGAATATTACATGTTTTCTAAGCTTTTGAAGGTGAGAAAATAGTAAAAGAAACGAATATTATTGTTAAGCCCTGTATGTGTGTATGTATGTACCTAGATTCTAATACTGTATACCTCGATTATAATCTCTTAATTTTCATATGTATTAAAGTGCACTCAAATCTCTGGCTGACTCTTTTTAAATATAATAAGAAATTCATGGCATGCTTTCAGGTATTTCTGCTATAAATAAATGTTCCGCACTATTTTATTTTGTTTAGTTTGTTTAGTTAGGCATTCTGCACATATACTACCCATGCAGACCTATGTGAAGCCTTAACGCTGATGACGATAAATGTGACACTTGGCTAACACATATGCCGCACACAAAGTAACCTTAACACCGCCCCCCTCCCGCCGCTCTTTGGTTTTTGCAGTGTTCGCTCTTGGCGCGTAGCCTTGGATATGAAAAACTTTGCTTATGCATAAATTTATGTGGGCTACGTTGCTTGTAAATTGAAATGTTTAAAAGCGCATGAAAATGTTGTTAAAACTTTCAAGTTTTCCCGTTTTATGTGCACCAACAACTTTTAATATGTGTAAAGTAAAACACAGGCAGAAAGAGAGAGAGAGAGAGAGAAGGAGCGAATTATGAAAGTGAAAAATATAGTCACTTGTACTTGTGATGTGCATTGGTATTACAAATATCGTGGCTATGCTCTGGCCTGCTTATATAAGCTAATTCATTTCATTCAGGAGAATCCAAAGCCCAGCAGGAAACCGCCCAATATAGCGATTGAGAGCCGTGCACTCGACAGGATAATCTGCTTGGCCTTGTCCACATCAATGGCATAGTCCATGGGCGTGAAGGGCGAGACGGCCATTTGCCGCACAATCGGTGGCTCATGCTGTTGATCTGTCACCTTGCTCCAGTCGATTTTGATCAGACCCGTCTCGACGGCCACCTCGACGGTCAGAATTGCACTGCCAATGCATATGGCCAGCACCTTGCTGACCTTGAAGAAAACATAGCCAACGATAAAGCCAGTGCCACCGCCGACTGCAATTTGTACGTAGGCCGAATGACTGTCCAATTTGTTAAGAGCTGTGGCCGGTATTGTCACAATTGGCATTTTTTTTTTGTATTTATTTATTTTCTTTAAATATATTATCGAATTATAATACTATGTTTTTCCTGGTACGTACTTGATTTAACTGATTTCACTGTATTCACTGATAGCCGGCTCATTTTTATTACCCCGCAACAGTTTTAGATTTTGTGCGCTCAGAATTCATTTAACAATTTTGTGTTTCATATTTTTTCTTTATTTAATTTTTTTGTACTTCCATTGAGTGTTAACTCAGAGCCAGAGCCTTTGTCTCGGCTGCTCGGCCAGGTGCTACAGGTGCGCCAGACCGTGAACTCGCTTCAATGTCTGCGCCCCGCACATCAAACGTTTCTGGCTTTTTGCACACATTTTATACAAAGCGCATAAATATTTGATTACCTCCTAATTAAATTTAATGCGATTTTGCTATGTCTAAATATTTATATTTGCCCGAAATTTGGGCATCAATTTCAACGAATTTTCAAACGTTTTATTTGGCACAATAAAACTGACCAACAAATCAAATTCGTTTTAATTAATGCACCACATTTCTGTATCGCTATAATTATAATATTTATTGGTTTCTGTTGACTGCTGTTGAGAGCTATAATGGAATTTAGATCAAATACTATGTTGGTCAAAATTTAATTAAACTATGTTGCCTGTCGCTACTAAAGCCTTGCAGCTTTGATAGATTTGTAATTATTATTTAGCTAAAATAATAATAAGTAATATTTACTCGTTTTCAAAAGCCGAATTATCAAGCGTATTCCTATCAGTCTATAAAATTATTTTTATTTTATTTCTTTTTAGCATTGTTTGTATTATATATTTAATATTAATAGTATTGCATACTAGTGCGAGAGGCTTTTAATAAATATATTTTATTTCAATGTGTTTATCTGCATTAATTAAAGTTTAAAATAAAATTGTTAATACAGATAAATATATAATATAAAATATATCTTGGGTAAAATAAATATTTATTTTGAATATATACTATAGTATATATAGAGATTAATGTTTGTTCACCAATTCAGAGCATCAAATTCTGCTCTATATGGAATATTAACATTTCGAATTTTATTGTTTATAATATTTAGAGAAACAATGAGTACAGCACATGTTTTTAAGAACACCGTCCTGCTGTACAGTGCTATGGTATTAAAAATGATTTGAATCAAGCAGACCTGTAGTATATATTGTATATAAACTAAATACTTAAAACGCAATTCCATAAGGGAAATGCCTAGTTCTAGTAGAAACGCTCGCTGAACTATTTTCTGCAACAGCAATTTTATATTACTACAAGAAAAAGTATTTAAATATATACTTTACTTTTTTGTATTTATTTTTTATTTATTATTATATATATTATTATATATTATAGTAATAATTATTATTATAATTTATTTATTTATTTTTAATTTTTTTTTTTTTATAAGAATTATATTTTTTTCCCTGCTTTTACCTAGCTTTTCAGAGTCTCCTCAATGCATACCCGTAAATATTCGCATGAAATTTGCATGAAACAAGCAAATAATCTATTTGTTCTGCAACTTTTTTACATGTATATATATTCCATATATATAGTTTTTTTTTTTTTTTTTTTTTTTTTCATTCTTTGGCCGCTCCGGCTGTAAGTGCAGCGAGGCGTGCATTATTGATGCGAAACCCTGGAGAAATCAGTGGGAACAGTTCAATTGGTGCGCAAATCGAAATGGCAACTAAAAATGGCCGTGAGCCGAATGCAATTTCGACTCTATGTTTAGCTGTTCAGCCTCGAGTACCTTTATTTAATTTATTGTTCAATTATGCGTCCAGGCAACGCCCACCAGAAACCCACACACACACACACAGAGCCAAACAGCCAGCAGCAGTCGAGGTGTTTGTCGCTATCGCAAGTTGGCAATCAAATTAACAATGAGCACGCAAATAGCCACAAATGATTGCGCGAATGCAACTACGAGTGCAGTTGGCAGTTATATCTATATATGTATGTATATGTTCAAGCTGATTTATGCACTGTCTAAGTGTTTTCCAGCACTGAAATAAACACTTGCAGCATTTAACTTGACAAGTGAAATTTCGAATTCTCCTGCACACAATAAAAAGCACACATCAAACATGTATGTAGTAAAGTTGTATGTGTATGTGTGTGTGCCTTCAACTTGACCATAAAAGATGACCGGCAAAATGCTAACGGTACAACAATTCCAACAGCCATGCGATACGTGTTTGCCATGCGGCCGGCAAACTTTTGCAACTGCAAATTTGATTTCTTTTTTTTTTTTTTGGTATTTTATTTTTTTGTTCACTGCAGTTTCGCTCTGATTTTATGGTCATAGTTTAATGGGACATTTTTTGAAGTACGTGAGCTGCTGCTGCTGCTGCTGCTGCTCCAACTCCTGCTGGCTAAGAGGCGAAGTGTGCAACAGAGTAAAGCATTTTGCATTCTGCACTTTGCATTCTGTATTTGGCATTTGAGCAGTTCTCGAACACACTTACAAATTTGATAGAAATACAAGTGCTTGAATAAAATACCTCGCTTGAATAATAACCTCGATGGTGTGTAAGAGAGAAAGCAATATATATTATATACATATATTAAATGTATGTAAATGTATATTATATAAATATGTATAGTTGAACAAAAATTATCTATTACACTTTTCTTTTATCAAAAAGATAAAATAAGTAATATAATAAAAATGTATTCACTTTTATTAGTAATAACTTATTTTCTCAAAAAATAATAGCTATAATAGAAATTGCAATATTATTGAAAAATAAAACAAAAAGTAAAAATAAACAAATTAAAATAATAAAAAAAAATGTTATAAAATATATGAAATATATATATTAATTAAATTTTAGTAAAATAAAATAATACAAATTAAAATGGTATAAAATAAAGGAAATATTCATAGATATACTAGCTTACAATATAATACAAATATATGTTTTATAAACGTAAATTCTCATTTACCAAATTTTAAATAAATATGAAATGACTTCCTAAAAAAAAAAAGAAAAAAAAAATTATTACAGTAGAAACCGGTTAGAACGATACTCAAAGGACCGTCCTTATACCTTGAAGACGCTATAGCTGTATAAGTTTGCTCATAAACGTTTGTCTGGGCACCAAAATTTTCGTCGCTATTACCGTACTGACGCTTTAAGCGGAGTCGTTATAACCGGATTCTACTGTACTTATGTCGTTGTAATAATAAAATTTTAATTGTGCATGATTGCAACTATTTACTATGGTTTTAAGCAAAAATTTATACAATTTATTCTTCATGATTATTTATCATTGAAAGTTTACCAATGTTACCTCAGGTGTAGTTTGCTCTTCACAGAGCTTCATTTAATTTCAACTCAAAGGAACTAATTTGGCATTGGCCAACTAAAAACAGCTTTCCATCAAGCTTTCGACAATGACAATTTTATTTTGCTATTGTGTTAGTAGTTGACATTACTGTGTGCAGTCAATAGTAGTTTTTGAATTTGTTGGCACAGCAACATGGCGTATGCGTAATATGTGAGCGATTTAAAACCAAGCGAAAAGTCAACTCATATCTACTGCTGACATTTATGGTTAATGTTATGTGGTTGCAGCTCCAACTGGCCAAAGCACGTTGCCGTCCTGTGCGTGGGTGCGGCAAATGCAGCTCTGCTCTGCTCTGCTCTCTGCTGGCTGCTGGCTGTTGCCCGTTGACGTGCTGTAAATTTGAAAAACAGTCAGCAGCCAGTGGCTGCTATAAAGAGTTGCCTGTTGGCTCAAAGCAAACGATTGCTGCAGCTGTTTTGTGTGCTGACTGCTTTATTTGTGTGCGGGTTTGTACAACAAATTAACTGTGGTAAAGCCAAAGACTGAGAGAGACAGAGAGAGAGAGAGAGAGAGTGAGAGTGAGACAGCGACAGCACTAGAAATTGGCGACGTTGTTAGCTGCAAGTGATGAGTGCAGCTTGTGGTTTGTTTGTGCTGCAGCAGCCTCAGCGTTTTGTTGGGTTAAATGGTTTGTCTGTTTTAGAACATTAATTTTGTTGCCAGTAGATGGATGGAGCTCTCTCGTTCAGTGTCTGCTGAGCTCGACTGCCGCAAGTAAAGTTAATGAAATTTCGCACAAAATCACTTTATTTTCTTAACAAAATATTTATATATTTGAAGTAGACTCTCGAAAGAGATTTGCCAACAATAAATGACTTGTTGCAAATGCATAAGAAGCTAATTTGCCTGCTCTGAATGCAAATGGTGTGTAACTAAAGATATTTGTTTATTGATAAATAATCCAAGAAATGTATGTTTAAACTATGTGAGTTTTGTTGTATATGTCGTATCACGAACACGTGTCGTATCACGTAACATGACAAGAGAGCGTCGAAGTGTTAGAGCTATCCAGGAGGTACTGCTTATATAGTAGCTGTTCCTAAGATTAGAATGAGATGGCATGAAGGCCCCTTATATGTATTTCGAAACTAAGATTTGTTGTATATGTCGTACCAATATTATGTAACACTGTTAACACATATCAAGACAGCGTCTTATTTTTAGAGTTATCGTAGAGCTATTACTCTATTGATGCTCTACGAGAGTGAGACAAACATAGCTGTTGCTGAGATTGGAATGAAATGGCATGAAGGCCTCTATTATTTGTAAACAAAGATTTGTGGTATGTGTCGTATCACTATTATAATGTGATTATAAATTGCTTGGTTTTACATATACCATAGCAGTCTATTTCTACTATACTCTTATATACACTACAAGAATATTTTTTATTTTCTGTTTAAGCTCTCAACATTCTCTACACTGTTAAGTCTATTTTGCTCCCTTAGCTAAATTTATTGTGTGGCCAGATATAGCGACTCATCAAATACGAAAATGTTTAAGGGGCCAAGTCTAAATATAAATTATTTTTATTCGATATTCAATTTATTTTATTTTTTTTTATAAAAGAGACAAAGTAACTTGATTTTTACACACAATTGTCACTGTTGATTTAACAGACTATTAACATTGCATAACCCAATAGAACTCAAATGTGTACAGAATTTTCAACTGACGTTGCAACGAAATAAATTGTGTGGTTAGCCAAATGCCCAAAGTTTGATTAGTAGCGAACAGTCACTGGCTGGCATGAGCAGAAATAAAATTTGAATATATAAAATGCATATATAAATAAAGCAAAATTTAAATATATTTATTGCGTGAATATATCTGATAGAAGTCTATATATGTACATATATGCCTT